CTTGTCTTATTAGAGCCTCAATCCCATTTTTTAGGTTGACACAGCCTTTCGTGGTATGGTTAATGTCCCAGTGAAAGGTGTATCTTTTTGTAAGATCTCACCTTATGTTTTGCCTCAATGGCATGCGCTATCTAAGGTTAGGGTTTTTTTCGATTTCCATCATAATCCTCTAACAAAAAGAATTCAATATAGTGTAGCTTCTTTTTCTGCGGGGCTTTTAGCTCTATGTTATCTCTTTTTTGAGGGAAGATTGTAGAATGCTTTGTTTTTTTTTACAACAAATAGAAGGGATAAGTCTCTTTTACCTCAATCGCTAAGGAGGAAAGATGAGCCTCTCTCACTTCGGGTTGTTTTTATTGTAGCTTTAGCAATGATATATTTCTTTGCTATTGGTAGGATGTCAGCCAGAGTTTTGGGTGACTTCAGTGATAACGTCAACTTTAAGTGGTACTTGTTATCATTGAGTCCACTAGTCAGTATAACGATATTGACCATCTGTTCTAGGTCTTTGACCTATAGAGCTTTCACATTAAAATACGTGACATATCTTTTTAAAATTTTATTCTGCCCTTGATGAATTGACATCAAGCTTAGGGATGTTTTCTTAGCTCTTCAACTTCTCACAAATTGGGACAAGAATGAGTGGCTGAGCTTCTTAAAAGTAGTGATTAACCTTGGCTCTAGACTACTATATTAAGATCGAGCTACACCTTTCAACTTAATGGCCAGGCCTTTGTACATCGGAGCCTTGTTTGCCTTCCGTATCATCATGTTAGTTTTATAAATTTTCAAATGATCAAAGGGGTCAAAAGTACCATTATATGTCTCCAAAATTGGTATTTTGAATCCTTTAGGAGGTATGGCTTTATCAATCCCTTTGGTAAAAGGTGAGGTCTCCAAGAATTTGAGCTCATCTTCAAATGCTGATGGTTTTGTTTTCATCTCTTTCTCTATGGCTTGCATTCGAGCTTTTAAATCTTTATTTAGTGGAAGTTCATGGTTTGTTTATTTGGACTTTTGGGTTGTAATGTTTGTAGAATTGTAGCTAGGGTAGTGATGAGTTGGATTAGTGTGTTTTTCTTCTTTAGAGGTCGAGGAGGCTTCCATCTCTTCATAGCTTAACTGTTTGACAATAGCTTCTCTGCCCGGTGTGACTAAGTCTGGCACTTTAAAGATTTACGGTGGGGTTATGGTTTGTAACATCTGTTTGAAGGCTTATATTTGTTTGGTTAGGGCTTAAAATTGCTCCATGGTTGACCCATATGTGGTTGAGTTGGGTGGACAGAGTGCTAGCTTATGTAAGTTTCTGTTCTAACCGGAGAGGCAACCTCTTTTTCCTTTTAGGCTCTTTTCCTTGGTGGCATTGTTTTATGCTTGGCTAATATGAAATCTGACCCCCTACCTAACACACCAAATGTTGGTGCCAAGCTCCAACCTGAGGGTATTCTTATGAAAGCAGAAGAAAAAGACGGTTAAAGGTAAAGACAGGGCATATTCCCTGTGTTTACACTCTGACGCGCAAGCCAATAAGGATTAGGTCAGAAAGAAAATGAAAGAATAGAAAAGAGAAGGATAAATGGGTTAGATGAACCTGGTTTCATGATACTTTAGTCTTCATATTTATAGGTAAGTTGACGGAGACAAAAAAAAATAATTAAAACAGAACTGAGCTGAAGTGGTATTGATCATGTCAGACCAACCTGATATGTTAAGTCAGGACAAATAATCAAAATACTCTTGATTATCTGCTGAAAGCTTTAAGAGAGAGAAAAACTACTATGCCCCTAATAGATACCAAAGAACCAGTACTAATATTCTAAAGATCATTCCACCACCCATATACATCCAAGTATGATTAGCCTCTGTAGCTTTCGCCCATATTGTAGCTCTTAATTTTATCAGGAATAACATCTTAACATGCTCCCACTTTTTCCTTTTGAATACATATGTTTCAAGCCATTGATAAAGACCAAAAGATTGCCCCATATACAACCATTTATCTTTTCTTCATGAACCCAAGGCTGTGATTACTATAGCATCATCATGTGGGTGTTGGATGCCTTTTAAATCTTTTGAGCTAAATAAGATCGACTCATCTTTCTAGTCTTTTTCTTTCTTGGTTGGGGTACATATTGCCATCACTATGCCCAGATTAAACTTCTTTTTCGTCGAGGTGGACTGCTTTCTATTATCACATTAAACATGTTGGCGATTGGCCTATTATTGTTAGTTCAACCTTCTTTTTAATTCAGCTCTTCTCATTGGGCATCCCTTCTTCCTTGATCTAATCTTCCTTCTCTGCCTCAAGTCGACATTCTGTGATCGTTCTGTAGTCTCTTCTAATCTAGTTTCGTCTTTTCTGTCGCATAAATTTTTTTAGCTGACCTTGTCTTATTAGAGCCTCAATCTCATTTTTTAGGTTGACATAATCTTTCGTGGTATGGCCAATGTCCTGATGGAAGGCATATCTTTTTTGAAGATCTCGCCTTCTGTTCTGTCTTAGTGGCTTAAGCCATCTAAGGTTAGGGTTTCTTTCGATTTCCATCATAATCCTCTCTCGAGAGGTATTTAGTGCAGTGTAGCTTCTTTCTCTGCTGGGGCTACTAGCCCTATGTTATTTCTCTTTTGAGGGAGGATCATAGAATTCTTTATCTTTTTTCACAACTAATGAGAAGGGATAAGTCTCTTTTACCTCAATCGTTAAGGAAGGAAGATGAGCCTTTCTCATATCGGGTTGTTTTTATTATAGCTTCAGCATTGATATATTTATTTGCTATTGGTAAGACATCAGCAAGAGTTTTGGGTGACTCCAATGACAATGTCAACTTTAAGTGGTACTTCTTATCATTGAGTTCACTAGTCAGTGTGACGATGGCGACCATGTCTTTGACTTGTAGAGCTTTCGCATTAAAATGCATGACATATCTTTTTAAAATTTTATTCTGTCCTAAATGAATTGACATCAAGCGTAGGGATGTTTTCTTAACTCTTCAACTACTCACAAATTGGGACAAGAATGAGTAGCTGAGCTCCTTAAAAGTAGTGATTGACATTGGCTCTAGATTGCTATATTAGGATCGAGCTGCACCTTTCAACTTAATGGCTAGGCCTTTGTACATTGGAGCCTTGTTTGCTCTCTGTATCATCATGTAAGTTTTATAAAGTTTCAAATGATCAAAAGAGTCAAAAGTACCGTTATATGTCTCCAAAGTTGGCATTTTGAATCCTTTGGGAGGTATGGTTTTATCAATCTCTTCGGTAAAACGTGAGGTCTCCAAGAATTTGAGTTCATCTTTAAATGTTGATGGTTTTGTTTTCATCTCTTTCTCTATGGCTTGCATTCGAGCTTTTAAATCTTTATTTGGTGGAAGTTCATGGTCTGTTTGTTTGGACTTTTGGGTTGTAACGTGTGTAGAATTGTAGTTGGGGCAGTGATGAGTTGGATTAGTGTGTTCTTTTTCTTTAGAGGTCGATGAGGCTTTCACTTTTCCATAGCTCAACTGCCCGACAATAGCTTCTCTACCCGATGTGACTAAGTCTGGCACTTTGGAGATTTACAGTGGGGTTATGGTTTGCAGCATCTGTTTGAGGGCTTATATTTGTTTGGTTAGGGCTTGAAATTGCTCTATGGTTGGACCCACATGTGGTTAAGCTGGATGGACAAAGTGCTGGCTTATGTGAGTTTCTGTTCTAACCGAGAAGGCTACCTCTTTTTCCTTTTAGGTTCTTTTCCTTGGTGGCATTGTTTTGTGCTCGGTTAATATGAAATTTGACCCTCTCCTGACACGCCAAATGTTGGTGCCAAGCTCCAACCTAATGGTATTTCTATCAAAGTAGAAAGAAAGGATGGTTAAAGGTAAAGGCAAGGTATATTCTCTATATTTACACTCCGACACATAAGCGAGTAAGGATCAGGTCGAAAAAGAAATGAGAGAGTAAAAATGAGAGGGATAAATGGGTTAGATGAACTTGGTTTAATGATACTTGAGTTTCATATTTATAGGTAAGTTGATGGAGACAAAAAAAATATAATTAAGACAGAATCGAACTAAAATGTCATTGATCATATCAGACCAACCTGACATATTAAGTCAGCACAAATAATCAAAATACTCTTTATTATCTATTGAAAACTTTGAGAGAGAGAAAGACTATTATGCCCCTAACAGATACCAAAAAACCAGTACTAATATTCCAAGGATCATTTCACTACCCATATACATCCAAGTATGATTAGCCTTTGTAGCTTTCGCCCATATCATAGCCCTCAATTTTATCAGGAATAACATCTTAACACGCTCCCACTCTTTCCCTTCGAATACATACGTTTCAAGCCATTCATAATGACCAAAAGGTTGCCCCACATACAACCATTCATCTTTTCTCCATGAACCCAACCACCCCCCCCCCCCCCCCCCAAATAGCGAGCACCTTCACATTGTAGAATAAAGTCCTTAACTGAATTATGGATCAACCATACCAGCCCCCAACAGTAAAAAACAGAACACCACCAAAAACCCCATGAAAACATGCAACAACGTAGAATATGAAATTAATCTTCAACGCACAGGCCGCACCAACCACAAAGCACTGTTCCACGTTAAAAAGAACCCCTCTCCCTACCCTATAAAATCATTAAACTCGTTGAATGCCCCTCCATAATAAGCGCATCCCTTCTTTCTTCTCTGTTTCTAATTTTAAGAAAAAAAAATTATTTAGTGCATAATTTTCACCAACATTTTTACAAAAAATAATACATTAATTCTTAACTATTTTTATATAAATATCACTTTTTTTTAAATATATATATAATATCATCTTATAATCAGCGAAAACAGACATTTGTTAACATTAGAACGAAAATATTTGGAGCATTTCTTAAGGAATAAATTTTAAAGTGATTAAAATGATGTAAAGATAATTAATAAAATATTAAAGGCTGTCTAGTAAGCCCGTAGCATGCTGACCACCTTTCATGGAAGCAATACGTAGGAGGAAGAAAAAACGAAAACTCCCGGAACCTGGCGGGCGGTGGCGTAGGTTCCTATTAGCTTTCCCTCCACTATACTTTCCCCAAATAAAACTCCTTTTAATCATAAAAAATTATAGGACTAATTACAAAAGAAGAAAAAGAGGGTTAAAAACACTTAAAAACGAAGTCGAATGGTTGATCAATTGTTGATCATCATTAATACATAGAGAATCTGAATCATCTTAGTTGTGTGGGTCCCATTCCTTCTCCGTTTCACACTAGAATCTTTTGCATCCTTTTAGCCTCTACCGCCACCGTTCACCGAACAAAAAAATTTATTCTAACGAAGTAATGATGGGATTGAGATTTACTTAAAACGGCTCTGATCAATTTACTCATCAATCTTTATGGATTTTGATGGTCAGGGATTTCACAGGAAAAATGACGAAAAAGAGAAAATGAAATAAACGGTTTTGATTGATGGGGTTGACTTGTTGATGGTCCCACAAAGCAACACATTAACCATCTTCTTTCTGCCTGTGCTGAGCATTTAGCTAATAAATTGACTGGGTCGACCCTCCAGTGTCGTTTCCATTTCTCCTTCCTTTTCCCTCTATGTTTTTCAATCTAAGCATTCTTGTATCTGGTACGTCTCCTTTAATTTTATTATTATTATTTAAAGTTTTAATTTTTAAGCATTTTTATTGAAAGATTAGATTATTGTATTTGGGTATTTAGCAGAATGGTGAGATCTTTTCAAATTCACTTGCTTCAACTGGTTCTGCTAGTATTTGATTTTGATATGATATTTGGGTTTTTTTTTTTTGCCCAATCGATATTTTGGGTGTTTAAGTTACTAATTTGATTGAGAAAAGAAAGAGATATTGGGTTTATGTCGAAAGTTTCTTTGAAATGGGGTTTGCTAATAAGAAATGTGGGGCTTTTGTTTGATACATGTTTGTAAGGGTTAAGCTTTTGTTGTAACTTTAAAATGGGTTCTGGGATTTTAGTTCAATCTAAGGAAGATTTATGGGAGGATTGAGGTGATCTGCCTTTCAATTGAGAGAACCAGTTTTTAATTTTCTGCAATTCTATGAGTCAATGTGTTTCTTTTATGACTTTGGGTAGGAAAAGAAAAAGGCAGCTTTTATTACTTCGATGGTTGAAAAGAAAGGGGGTTGCTTGATTTCATGAGTAAACTTGGCTGTGAAGTTTGATTCATGTTTCCTTGCATGATTATGCTGCAAAATTCATTATTGTTGTGGTCAAAATAATAGAATATTTACTTATAGTTGATTGTTAAGGAAATTTTGGATTTGGGGTATAATCATTCTTCTAACTTATTAGAAAAAAATTCAAATCTCCTCTTATGATTTGATGCCTCAGCTTTTCTGTCCATTTTTCGACCAGTACTTACTTTTTCATTTCTATATTGAAATTTGCTGGAATTTTGATGAACATTTCTAATCCCTTGATGTTTTCCCGTTTTGGCTAGTATTTGGATCTTGATATCTAAGAAGGCCTGAAAATGGATCTTACAGAGAGGTTATCTGGTGAACTACAAAAGAAAATTCCTGAACACCCGTTATTTACTAATTCCAATACCCAACATCAGCAGAGGTCGGAGGATCCATCCATTTTAGATTACAGCACCAGGATTGAACCTCCTTTCCAGGCATTCAACCAAATTTCTCAAAAAAAACCTTCACTGCTGTGTAACCCCAATAACCAAATCAAAGACCCTGTCCAAGATGGCCCCGTTAATGAATCACTTCAAGCCAGTAAAGTCCAAGATTGGGATCCAAGTTTAATGCTAAACGATCTCTCATTCCTTGAGCAAAAGATCCATCAGCTTCAGGATTTGGTGCATTTAATTGTTGGCCAGAGGGGCCAAGTGTTGGGGCAACCGGATGAATTTGTAGCTCAGCAACAACAGCTAATTACTGCTGATCTTACTTCAATTATAGTTCAGTTGATATCCACTGCTGGCAGTCTTCTCCCATTTGTTAAGCATACACTTTCTGCAGCTACTCCATCTGTTGGACAATTTGGGCAGTTTGGTGGAGTTGTCTTCCCTTCTGGGCCTGGGCTGAATGGTGGGGTTCAGCCACAAAATGCTGGTAGAAGCAAATTCTCTGAGCCGCCAAACTCTGTTGATATTAGTAGTAACACTGGAAATGAGCAGAATCATATAATTGAGGAACATGAATTGAAAGATGAGGAAGATGTTGAGGAAGGAGAAAGCCTTTTACTTGGCACCTATGAGATACTGCAGTTAGCAAAGGAAGAAATCCTTGCACCCCACACCCACTTTTGCACTATATGTGGAAAAGGATTCAAGAGAGATGCAAATTTACGAATGCACATGAGAGGTCATGGAGATGAGTACAAAACACCAGCAGCACTGGCAAAACCCAATAAAGAGTCCTGCTCTGAACCAACTGTTATTAAGAGGTATTCCTGCCCTTATGTTGGTTGCAAACGGAACAAGGATCACAAAATGTTTCTGCCTCTGAAAACTATTTTATGTGTCAAAAACCATTACAAGAGAACCCACTGTGACAAGAGCTACATTTGCAGCAGATGCAATACCAAGAAATTCTCAGTAATTGCTGATCTCAAAACTCATGAGAAGCATTGTGGTAAAGATAAATGGCTTTGCTCTTGTGGCACCACGTTTTCAAGGAAAGATAAGCTGTTTGGGCATATTGCACTTTTTCAGGGTCACACTCCAGCAATACCCTTGGATGAAACTAAAGGATCTGCCGTGCTAGCTGATAAAGGACTTGGCAATCAAGCCACAAATAAAGTTGGAGGCATGAATCTCAACTTTTCCTCTAATGTTAATTGTGAAAGTGGGGTACAAAGTAGTCTGGATGTTAAAGGGAGCATTGATGATCCTGCAGATTATTTCTCACCATTGAACTTTGATACATGTAATTTTGGTGGGTTACATGAGTTCCCTCGACCACCATTTGATGATTCGGAGAGTTCGTTTGCATTTCTCCTTTCAGGGTCTTGTAATTATACTCAGAAAAGTAAAGACTAAAACCTAACAATCTTGGGAGTTGGCTAATGTTTCTAGAATGTATTCTTCCTTGTATTGGGGTTTATGGATATTAATTTTTGTTACATTTGTATGTTAAGGCAACCCTTATGTATGTAGTTGCTTAAACAAATTGTATTTTGAATGAAAAGAAACTGTTTGTTCACTTAGGATCTAATGCTGTAATTTTGTTAGAGCGATGATTTTAGCTTTTTTCTTAAAATCCTCGAAAACAACTCCATGTTGAAGACTTATTTATCAAGTCTTTGTATCGAAGCATAGAAACTTTTGCCCCCAATAATTGTATAGCAAATAAGATCCTCAATATTTGCAAGTTGGTCTACCTCTGAGAAAAATTTCAATGGACTCCACATCATCTTCATTCACAACATTTGGTCAAGAAAACCTCCCTTTGTTCCTTTCATTTTTACCCAACTAATTTCAATGGACTCCAGATCATCTTGATTCACAGTAATATCAGATCTTGTCTTTTTTTTTTTTTTTGTTAATTTTCTTATTTCAGGTGCCACTTCTCCATTGATGCAAATGGTTTGGCTCGTGTTTCTGGTAACATATATAGACCCTGACAATACTCTTAAGCTGCTAGCGAAATCTGAGAAACATGCTCAATTGTATAGGATTGACACTGGAATCAATCAACCTTCAGAAAGTAGAGATAATCACCATCATTTTGATGATATTGGCTAGCTAGCTATCAATACTACCATCAATATATATCCATTGTCGCCTCCTCAGTATGTTCCCCAATCCCCAATGCCGCCAGCACACTTTTATTCCAGTGAACCTCAGACACCGTGACATGCTTGATTTGTTTTACAAATTAATTAGGATTTTGGTTACTTTCCGCTCAGTACTTATTATTAGTAGCACTTGAATTATCCTAGGTGAAGGTTTTTCCTACTTTACTATTTTGTTTGAAATTAAATTGAGTAATGTTTCTTCTCATGATTTTATGAAATGAAGATTATGAAGTTGTTTCATGTTTGCCGGTTGAATTCTAAAGTGGCACTAAATTTTCAAATAACTCTATTCTGATTAATTCTATATCTTTTATACAAAATTTTTATATCTTTGCAGATAGAATCTGCATCAATAATTTGAATGTCATTAATCTTAAAGATTCCCTTAATGGAAACAATTTTATGCAACACCTCAATGACAATAGATCAGGGTAATAAACACACCACTTTTGTTGGGATAATGTGGAAATTGTTTTACACATGTTTTATTGAGAGAAAACCTAAGATAGTTTGTACTCATGGCAAAGCTTGTCTTTGGTTTTGAAGGATACAGTATTGATCCTAGCCAGAAACTATAGTGATACAAATAATACGAACAGTGGTATATATATGCTATATTGAAAGCAATTACTTGTGGTGCAAAGAATTAGAATTCTATCGTCCTTTCCTTCAAAACATAACACCTAGTATTAAACTAAAAGGCTCAATTGTTTTAGTGGACTGAACTGATCTGCCCATAGTGGGAATTAAGAAGCAGAACGAGTTTCAAACACTTCACATCTCCCTGTCAGCCCACGTAAACCTCTCAGAAAAGGGGTTCACCGAACTCTCATGGAATTTTTGCACTACGTCACAAACCACACCCTGAAAATAAGAAAAACAAGAAAAGATAAAGATAGAAGTGGAAAAGATAAAGAAATAAGACTAAAAGGGGATAGATATGTCATGATGCAAACATAAGTATTTGTTGGGAATAATGACTTATATCCTATAAATAATTTTATTTGAGATTTTCTTGATATTCGCTAGATATTGCTTGATGGAGGAAAAAACTTGTAAGAGAAGAATTCTATGAGGAAAAAATTTTAATTGTTAAGTTAGTATGCTTAGAAATAGTATGAATCTTACTAGGGATAGTGACTCAAATCCTATAAATAGTAAGTGTTTGTATTGAGCTTCCAGCTGAGGGTCAAAACCCTAAAATTACAAGAAAAGAGAAAGAACGATTAAGGCAAAAACAAGGAGTGTTTCTTGCATTTGCACTCCGACGCTTAAGTCAAAAATCAATATGAGGGAGGTCAAAAGGAGAGAAAAATGACAATGTAAGAGTAGAATAAGAATGGATGATAGCATTAGATGTACGAAAGGTGAAGGGTTTGTAGGGTAAGAAGGTGATGTAACCAAGCTAATGTGGCATTGTACATGTCAAGTTAGCTTCACTTGTCAAGTCAGCCCAAAAGTAAAAAATGCTCTTAGCTATCTGCTGACAAGCTCTAATGAGGGAAATGACCTATATGCCCCTTTGACCAAAGAATACACCTAACATTCTATCCCCTTACCAAGCAGTTTGAGTATCAGACTAATGGGTGCTTGCTTGAACTTTTCTAGTTCGTATATTCGCTAATCTAACCTCAATCTTTATGGACTTTTGAAAAGTTATGCTAGGGATCCAACCTTGCAAGTCGAGATTAGACGTTGTTAAGGCTGATGCAGGAGAAGTTTGTAATGTGTTGAGCATAATTGTGGCTACCCTAAGTGAATCAACTTGACGTGCGAGTGTAGATGTTGAGCTTGATCTCGAGCGTGGGTTTTAGGTTAATCATGTTGCCAGTTCGTTTTAAGGTTTCCAAGGTAACTGTCTGTATGCCAATGAGTCCTGAGGTTGGGCTAGTCAGAATGCAAGTAATTATTGTTATTACTTACATGCTTGACGTGAGACTTATAAACTTTATTCAAAGTTTGGTCTTCAAACTTGGGTCTGGGTTGGCTTGATACTTGGTCTATTCAGTTGGTCTACCTTAGGTTTTGTAACCAATTTGGCTGGTTTGAATGGGTAAGAAAATTGATTTGCCTTTAAAATATTTAAAAATCACATTTAATGAAGAGAGAGGCTTTTAGGCAGTAAAATATAGGAAGATGAAAAGACCCTCCCTAATAGTAGTTTAACACATGGCTTGATTTGGGTTGTTCATCTAATTTGAACTTTGCTACATAAATGGCCTATTACAACCTTTATTTTTCACTTTTCTATTTTTTTGCTATTAATTAGATTTGCTTTTATTCAACCTAAAAGCTCTCACCTTTTTCTTTTCTGACCTAAAAGTTTTACCTTCTTTCATATATCTTTCTTTTCTTCACTTCGATACGTTTTCTTAACCCTTTACAATATCTACTAGTGTGAGCTCCAGGGGTTCAAGAAGTTTTAGGGTAGGTCCTAGGAGATTTGGTTCAGCAATGAGGATGACGACAAGGTCCCCTCAATCATTGTAGGGAAAGACTATAGCTAAATAGCATATTGGTTAAATCTAATGTCTGAAGAAGAGCCAAAAAGCATAAAGGACAATGCCTACACTAGGAGTGAGCAAGTCTTCCAAAGTATAGATAAGTTATGTGATGCCATCAACTTTGAACTTGAAAATCCTCTCATTCCATTTCTTATCTCTTAGGTCAGTTTAGCTTTTTCGACTGACCTTCCTTTTTCCACTGTTCTTCTTTATGGGTTCAACCTTTTAAGCCTTTTATTCTTCTTACTTTTTCCTTTGTTCCTTCATTTGTTTTTCTTGAGTTAGCTTCAGTAGACATCTTTCAATATTCTTTTCTTTTTAAGGAGTCTCATTATCCTTCTTATTCTTTTGACATTATAATGCTCTCCACCAGTACACCAACTTGAAACCCGCTCCAGCTTAGGAATTTGAATCTTCTGATAGTAAAGGCTTCGATTATGAAGAGGTTTTGAGGAGGAACAAAAGAAGAGGTTAAATAAACCGAAAAAGGAAAGGATAAGGAAAAGTCTTCCTTAGACTTATAGGGCTTAGCTTAGGTCCCTTTTTTCATACCTTTTTCCTTAGTTTTGATCCCTAAGGACGTGATGAAAATTTAAAAGGTAAGGCTAATCTTGAGGACTACCCTAACATGTGTTTTGTTCATCAAGTCCATTCTTTGAAGGTCAACTTTAGCTTTCCAAATGAGAGGTATAGTGTATTAGTGCAAACCATCGATGATCAGTTCACTAATAACCTAGAAAGTCACTAACTTTGGTTGTATTAGGATTCAGTAGTGGCCAATCTAAGGTTGCCTTTACACATTTTATTTGTTGAATTTTTTGTTTTATAATTTGGCTATTACTCAGCTTATCCTTATTTCTTTTTGGTACGTAAAAGCATTCATTATTTTTTTGTAAAAACTTAGGTATCTATCCCATTTTCCCTCTACTCAGAGAGTTTTTCTTAGTCAAAAGGCATTCATACCATAAAAGATGGTTATGTGAGATAGTTCATCCATTTATGAATCTATTTACGGATTGCCATTGCTCAGTAAAGAGCTAAAAGCTACTTTTTCTCAACATCTAGAAGGAGAAAAAATAAGAATAATAAGCTTGAGGTGTTTTTAACAAGCCTAAGATTTTTTATGATGTGTTGATTGCTCTTTTTGTGTTTGACTTCATAGACTGAGACAAAATCTTAGAGTTCACCAAGAAGGGAGAGTTGATCATAAATGCGAATGAGCTAACCTCTCTTAAAATAGTGAATGAGTCCAAATACTGGCATAAGTGTAAGGTAACCTCGTAGGATACTTAGCTTTGTCAAATTTTTTTAACTCTTAGCTCATCTTGCATATATATCTTCCAAACCTTCTAAGGATTTTGACTTTCACAAGTACCTTTATAAGCCTAAGGCTAAAAAGGGTCAGAAGTAATCAATTCAGCTTGAGCCTTCTTTCCAAAAAGAGGGAACTAAAGTAATAAATCCCCTTGCCAATTAAAAGTTGAGCTCTTCGGCTCAAACTTTTACTGTCGCTAAAGAAAAGCAAAAGATGATGGCAGGTCAGAAAGTCCCAACTCCTCTTCGCCTTAAGAAGTAAATGCCTGAGGCCTCCCACTCTCTAGTGGATGGGAGGTCCAAATTTTAAAGCCTAATTTAGATGAGTTCTCTACTAGCTTGGAGTACAACATTGGTTAAAACCCTCTAGAGAATGTTGATATGGTTAGGAAGTTTGTAAAGGTCGCGGTCTCTATAAATAGTAAGTTGTTTTTTAGTTCAATTTTTATATTGTTCTTATTAGTTTTACTATTTTCCAAGTCTAGGTTCTATTTTCTTTTATAGTTTTTGGCCAACTCTCAACTCATCCCAGTCAATGTACTAACCAAGCCCTGCACCATGGTTATATGGCCTTGGCCTATGCCCTGAAGACCGAAAAGGATCTATGGATCTGGGGTCAAGAAAAATACAAGAATAATGACATGAATGCCAACTTGTAGTCTATCCTCATTATCTCTCATAAAAAGGAATTCAAGCAAAAGAAGTGGGTTAGCAATTTGGCGATCAAAATATAAAAGTTATAGGTAGAGAAGTCCTCAACTGATTTTATAAGAGAACAAGCTGAGCTGAAGCTTAGCAATACTACGGCTAAGATTGTGAAGCTGAGG